AATAATAATAATAATTCTAAGTAGAAAATGGAAAAAATGGAATAACGTTAACTTGGATGAAAATCGTAGAGCTCTTAGAATTTTAATTGGGATGGTACTTTAGTGATTTACTAAAGTATCAGGAATGTGGACTATTATTTATCAAGCCAGGACATCTGGTTTCATTTAGAATACATTGACTATTAATGCCTTTTGCATACAGTTTTGTTGAGTTACAAGTTTGCTTTTCAGTGTATTTTGCGAATATAACTAGCTGGGGTAAAGGCTTTATTGGCAAAACAGATATTGTTCCTTCTTTCCATTCTGTGTCTGGAGTCCTTTTTACAGAGCCTTCCAAATTTGGGGTCTCAGCAACATGACTGTTGATATGAAGACAAAGGTGGGTGATTCCTGTATTTGACCACTAAACACACATAGACACTAGCTTTTGACTCCACACAGATCTTCACCAGGCTGGGCATTACAGAGCTGGTACGGGGGAGGGGGGAAAACAGATATTCAAAAATCCATGGCTGGGTGTAAGGACCCGGCTTCTTTGTCTAAAGCAAGTTCCAAAATGGGGGCTGCAGAGATGGTAGGTTTGAGATTCGAACGTCTGGCAATGTGGGTGAGAATGCCCAAGCTTATAAGACAAGGAGCTATCAGTCACTAAGTAGCTCTCATTCACATGTACCTGACACAATGCCTAACGTTGAACCACATCATTGGTGTTTGGCTGGGTGTCGGGACACACAAACCCTATATCAGAGAAGTTTAAATTACATTTAGTTTATACTAGGTAAGCCAATTGCAGCCAAATTAAATGTGTTACCTAGTGACTGGAGGAAAATGTCCCCAGTTTGCTGTCCTGTTTTGGTGGTGTTAAATGTCCTTCCTTGCTATATTGTAGTGCCCATCTATTTGGGGCGTCTTCCATAGTCCAACAAGAAATCAAAAGGCCACATGGAGTCAAAATGTAACCTCTGTTTGTGAGATTTTAGTAGTCCCACAAAGGTATCACCCACCATTGTCTTCAGGTTGTGTGAAAGGACTACATGGTTTTAATACCCTTTTTAAATCAATGATGATGAATGTAAAAAAAACCTCAGTGGAAAAGTCGTATGATTTATGTATTGCCCTGAATTTTATTTCTGCCTTGGTTGCAGGCTAGATGGGAAATTAGGGGAGTTGTTATTTGGGAAAGACAACTGAAGTTTGAGAATTGAGAAGGATCTGCATGGGGCTGAAACAAGGGGAAGGGACACTTCCCTTTCCATGGCATTATTATGACTTGAATCCCCCCACGTCCACTACCTACTGTTTTATTTGTGGGTTTTTTTTCTCCAAACGAAAACAAAAAACAAAAACACCCCTCCATACTCAGACATTTATTAATCTAGACAACTGTATGGGAATAAATTGATTCTTCCTACTTCTGTAGGGCCTCTGAACTGGTCTTGGAGCTTTCAGGATTGCATTTGCATTTTTTTTTAATGAGACAATTGGTTACAGATCTTCCAATCTGATATCTGTTTTGATCCCTAGGGATGAATAGATTTCAAATAAACAAAGGTTTAAGAAAAATGGCCTCAACCGGACACCCTCCAGATATGTTGGAGTACAAATCCTATCAGCCCCACTTTCCTGCTCAGTGGCCATAATGGTGGGACTGATAGAAGTTGCATTCCCACACATCTAGAGGGCACCAAATTGGAGAAATTGCAGATTTGACCCACAACATACATAGTTTAATGCTTAGTCCAGGCAAGGCACTAGACTGTTGACATGGAAGTTTATTGTTTGGTGTGAATAGACAACCTGTGGGCATGGTTGCAGTTTCATCTCTGGAGTTCACTGTACCTACCTGCTGATTTTCCTAACAGGCAGGAAGTGAAAGCAGCAGGCATGACACTTTTCAGACCAGGGTTTGGCCTGTTGTCTGAATTAGAACATGGAGGAAAAGCTCCAAAGGAACTGGGTTAAAAGAGTGCCTTCATAGCAGTGTCATGATGGTTGCTGCAGGCAGTGAGAGTCTATGCACCTTTCAAGGTACAACATGTTGCATTCCAGGCAAGCTCTCAGGGTGTGCGGGTAACAGGACTATATAACTCCTTAAAGAGGCCTTTTGCCCCTCCCCTCTGCTCTTCAGGTTTACTTTTGGGAAGCAGGCAACTCTACCACGAAGCAGGCAGTTCTGCGGTGTCCAGGGGTGTGGCTTCAGGAGCCAGTTTTGTTGGTCAGAAATGGCCAGATCTGAACATTGGTGAGAGCTCAGTCCAGAAGAAAGTCATTCTTAGAAAGTTTGGTCGAAATCAATGGAGGCTTTTATAGAAAGGCTTTCTCTTGAACTGTGCCCCATGTTTGTTTGTGTGGGTTATGGGGCATTAAATGCCTTCAGGGTTTTCCACTTCAAGGACCAAAACATGTTGAGTTGGCCTTGTAAGTAAAGTTAAAGAACTTTTTGTCTGAAAGCAGATGTTCTTGCGTAGAGTATTCAGAGCACTAGCAGGATAATATTTGCATTCTTTCACTAACCAAATAATGACTTTCAGATTTCTGGAGTTCTCCAGCTAACAACAACAGACTGCAAAATCCATCACCTCTCCAGAAGCCTCTGCCTTCAGAGAGCATTTATAAAGACTCCCAGCAGCTCTGCCTTATAAATGGAGTTCATTCTATAAGAACGAGGACGCCTTCGGAGCTGGAGTGCAGCCAAACCAATGGAGCCTTGTGTTTTATTAATCCACTGTTCTTGAAAGTGCATAGCCAGGACGTCAGTGGAAATCTGAAAAGGCAGTGCCCAAGAACTCAAGATGTGAATGGCCCAGAGAGGTCCCGTTCTCCCCCACCCAGACCTCCCCCACCTTCTATTCATAGCCTCCTTGCAAGTCCTCAGCTGTCCAGGACTGTAAACCAGGCAAGTCTGCCAGAAACTGTCAACCACAGCAGAGAACGGAACGTGGATGGGCTACAGAAGAGGCCAACCCCTATCCCGCCGCCTCGCCTGAAGAAGAAGGCACTCTCTTTAGAAGCAGGGAGCACTGCAAACAGCTCAGCTGTAATTGGACCAAGCCGTAACTCAGTGCATGGCTCAGAGGCTGCTAGCATTCCAGGTGGAGCCCCGCCTCAGCAAAACTTAGCAGAGAGCAAAAAGAGCTTAGCTGCACACTGTGAGTCACAAGTGCAGTGGAATGGAGGCCGGCAGAGACTGAGCGACATGAGCCTGTCCACCTCTTCCTCTGACTCGCTGGATTTTGATAGGAGCATGCCACTCTTTGCTTATGATGGGGATACTAACAGCAGCCTGGAAGAGTATGAGGGGGAAAGTGACCAAGAGAGCATGGCACCACCTCTGAAGCCCAAAAAGAAAAGGACTGGCTCTTTTGTCCTCCCCAAAATTGTTAAATCCCAGCTACGGAAAGTGAGTGGTGTCTTCAGCTCTTTCATGACCCCAGAGAAGAGGATGATCAAGAAAATCGCAGAGATGTCTCGCGACAAGCGGACCTATTTCGGTTGCCTGGTCCAGGACTACGTAAGCTTCCTGCTGGAGAACAAGGAGTGCCATGTTTCCAGCACAGATATGCTTCAGACCATCCGGCAGTTTATGACCCAAGTCAAGAGCTACTTGTCTCAGAGCTCTGAACTAGATCCTCCCATTGAATCTCTCATCCCAGAAGACCAAATAGGTAAGGAAGTGATGTGACTTGTTTGCCTTGCAGCATCTGCCCAAAGGGAAAAGGTACTGTCAAATAACCAAAGTAGCAACTCCCTCTTCTTGCTTTAAATGTAGTATAGCTGAGTAACAAAACAAAAAAAGACCAGTAGGCTTTATGTAAAACTGAAGTAGGTTTACATAAAACTGGTGTGTGTCATATAGATGTACTATTTTATAAAGTAGCCGAAGCAAAAAAGGAGGGGCTGCCCTCATCTGTACAGTCTACAGATGATGAAATGGTGGTGATGTGAGGCAAGGGGTCAGAGGATTATTACATTTCTAGATAGCTGAGTATAATTTATTTCTTTGTTTTTTAATGAAAGCACAATATGCCAAAATTCTAAAGTTGAGGGAGGGTTTTAAGACTTAAGCCTGCAATCCTATTCTTACTTCCTACTTAACTTCAAAGAAAACAGAGGAGTGTGTGGCTTCAAAAGATTGCACTGCCAAATTACATTCCTATGTATGCAATCCTACGTATACTAGAAAGGAAGTGTCACTAAATCAATATGATTTCTGAGTCAACATCAATAAAGGCAGGCTGCAGGACTATGCAGGAGCTATGTTTAACCATATTTTGCAGCCATGAGACATACATTTAATGGCTTACTGTTTTTTTAAGGTAATGTCTTACATTCTTTCTATATTGCTGGCTTGAAATATAGGCTTGTAATGTATTTATGCTTATGTGTTTACAATTGCTTTTCTAAGTGTCTCTGCATGTGTGTACTGTATAAAATCCAACATCTCAACAGTAACACCAACAGAAAAATGAAGACTGTTAAAAAAATAAGATTAAAATCAGAATCTAAACAATTATCAATTAAAATTAAAATACAGTAGCAGTAGTAGTAAAGTTCTGTAATGTATTCTAACTGTAACCTTGAAATCCTACTTTTTCATCAAAGTGTGGTAAATGGTACTAAAATCATATCCTGTATGATAACAAGGGCATTTCACAGATGAAATGCCACCATCAAAAAAGGCCCCTTTCCCATTCTTCCCCAGAAGGACGACCTCAGATTCACAAGTTGGGCAGGTAGATTCAGAAGGTCATTTGAGGCTTCTAGTTTAAGGAAGGAGGCAAGAAGTTAGCTCAGTTCTTGCCTGCTTTTGTGTTATATACATGAGCATTTTGCCCGTGTGTTAGAAGGATGTATATGAAAATACAGATTAGCTCCCTGAGCTATAATCTCTGCCTGCGTTCACATGTTTTAAGCATCACTTTAACAGAAAGCGGAAAGAGTTGTGAACACTGGGCCCCAGATAAACTTCACTCCTGACAAAATACTTTCCTCATGAGCTCATTTCACTGAGCTGTTTCTTTTACCGTTGATTTGGTGTTCTCAGAATTTGTTGGCTGTCCAGCATAGGGATTATTATATAAGGCAAACTGATAATGTACTTCCTTAGGGAATGGTTAAGTGTTCTTTTACTGAAACTTTGTCAAGTCCTGAATATAGTAGCTATTTGTGTTTGCATGCTCATTGTTGATTCCGTTTTACAGGAATACAAAGCTAATGAAACAACATCATCTCATTTCTCCCCCTCTAAATCCTAGATAGTTTACTGCCTTTGTATGAAAGACAGAACAGTATGTGGAGAATGTACAGTGCTGTGAAACTTCACCCTTGTGTTTTGGCAGTGTGCACGTTTAAATTCTCTTGTGGTTTGTGCATGTTTTTGGCTTTGCTCTTTTTCTACAAGGGTGTGTTTTGAAACCGTGGAGGATTGCTATATTGATAACTTTTTTCATATGTTAATAACTGCTTGTGTAAAGTATTGTATTTTGAGTGGGTGAGCTTAGTTGAGCAATTGATGGCCTGTGAGCAATCTCATTATGTAGGCAGGCAGTTCAAGCAAGCAGAAACTTTGCTTTTGAGCAATTTTGCTGCCTTCACCAGTCCTGAGGTTTGCAAGTAACCACACAGCACAGCAGAAACATTAGATGTTGCTGATTTAAGCGCAGAGCTATGTGGCAGATGGATTGAGTCATCGTGAACAGTAGAACAATGGCCAGCGTAATCCATTTACTCCACATTTTATTTTTGCCATTTTCAGTCTCTCTGTGGAAAAAAAAGTGAGGGGTGAGTGGGGAAATCAGAGCTAAAAAAATAGCCAAATGCTGTTATTTCCATATTAAATTGTGGGACTTCATTAATGCCTCCTCAACTTTGTTTATGGCATCTCCAGATTAAAATTATCTCCAACTAATTATTCCCTGGTGATGTGGGGAAACCTCTTTGAATGAAATAAAATGGAAAGGTTCTGATCAGCAACCTGTTATGGAGCATGAAAATAATATTTGATATTGTTCAGAGGGGTGCAACTATTCTATTTTCTTCTCACACAGAGCTTGGAATGTCATCTTTTTCAAAAAATTATTTAGGTATTCCTCGTTACTTACCAAAAGTAGCATGTTCGTCAGTACAAATTACTTTCAGAGTACTGTGTTTATGAAGCACCACTAACATGGCACTTTTTTGTTACTTCATTATACAGTGGGGTCTTGACTTAAGAATGGCTTGAGTTAAGAACATTTTGACTTAAGAACCGCTCTCATAGGAAAATATTGACTTGACTTACATACTTAGATTTGAGTTAAGAACTGAAAAAAACCCACGTGGGAGGCAGGGAAAGTGCAAAATGTGAACTTTCAGTTAACTGTTGGCCATTGAAAAGGGTGCCTGTCTGCTTCCTCACTCCTCCCAGCGTTTAGAGAGTGGATTGGGAGACTTTTTTGTTACTTCATTATAGTTGCTACTATTGTTATTTACAAAAATACATTTAAATATTCACCCAAATAATCCTCCAACCCATGCTTTAGATTTAAATTTTTAAAAAAGTAAGCATGTTTGCCAGTTTGTTCTCAGATTGTCTCCTTGTACTCTGAGATGTACTGCTGTAAGTTTGGAGATTCTACTCAGTTGTCTTGGCAAAGAGTGCTTTTAATCCATCCAGTTCTCCATCAAGTGTCTGCCCTTCTTTTTAAAAACACCAGATCCTATTGTTATTGCTCCATTTTGCAGCAGTGGTCCAAAATTATTTATATCCTGTTCAAAGAAGTGCTTCCTTTTTTCCTTCCCTGTTCTGTCTGTTTCACTGGGTGCATTAACATTTTTTTTGCTTTATAACATGGGAAGTAATGTACTGTAGTTGGCCATTGAGTGCAAGTGAGTGAGTAAGAGGTCCCTGCTCCTTAGAGGAGGAAGGCATTGCCTTTGACTCCTGACTGGATAGTATGGAGAATTATCCAGGGAAGCCTGGAAAAAAAATCCTGTCCCTCGCAACCTTTTCCTGCTCTGCCTAAGATCACAAGGCCCACATCTGTGACACCACAGGGGTCCACCCCTTGGCTTCAGGGCCCAGAATCTCAGAGAATGGGATGCTGCTGACCTGGAAGGCCTAACCACAAACTTTCCTTTTTCCTTCGGACTTCCTGATCGCCTAGTAAAAGTAGGATTCTGATTCTATTGAAAATCTAGCTGGCTGGCTGGCTCCGTGGGTTAAGGCTGAGAATTTGATACCCCCACTGTGTCTCCTAGGAGTAGAGCCAGCCTTTGTGGCCTTGGGCAAGCTGCATGGCCCCAGGATGGCCCCAGAAGAAAGGAGCCTTAAACCACTTCTGAATACTCTTTACCTGGGAACCCCTGAAAACCACCAGCATAATTCAGAAGGGACTTGAGGTCACATGATGATGATTATATTAACAATGAAGCCCAATTGTTAGTTAGATGGGATTATAGTAGTAGTGGCTCAGAATGCCAATATTACTAGCTGCACAAGTGCCTGTCATCAGAAAGGAATCATCTTGAGTACTGGGAGATAAAGAAAATGAAAAAAAGGCTCTTAACCTGCTATTCCTATATATTGTGAGGACTGATATGTAAATGGTTTTCAGTAGATAAAGTAAAACTTGAGGCCTTTTTAATGACAGAAGGTCACTGAGGAATTTACCTCTTATTCAGACGTCTGCTGCTTCAAAAGATTATGAAAGAGCATTTCAGGGCAGGATGCAGATGGTCATTCCAGAAGTCATTGGGAAACTCCTCGCTCTCTTAAAAGAACTTCCGCTTTCCACTTCCCAGAAGTAAATTAAAGCTCTCTGTAGCACTATTAAGTAGCTTAATGAAAACCTATCTGTTCTTATTATCTGGCCAGTTTTATTCACTCTATTTGCTTTCTATAATTCTTGTACCCCTCTGGTCATCTCATGTTCCATCCCCACCCCCCACCTGATATCCTCTCTGATACATTTAAATACATTGCTGGCCAAAATCTTATTACCGTATGTTTCCATGTATAAAATAACACTTTTACCTTAAATAACTAGACAAAAAATTGAGGGTCATTTTATACGGAAAAATGACCACTTTTCCCTGCCTTTTGTGAAGCCACGGGGCTTAGTAAAAAGGAAGGGAAGGCTCCCTTTGGGTAAAGCAGCGATGAAAGGGCTGCACAATTGCAGCCCTTTGATCCTGAAACCCTTTCATGGCTGCTTTACCCACTTCCTAAGCCCCATGTGGCTTCGCAAAAGGCAAGGAAAAGTAGTGGTCAAAGGGAGCCCTTTGATCACTGCTGTTCCCTTCCTTTTGCTAAGCTCTGTACCTTAGCAAAAGGAAGGGAAAATCAGGGATCAAATTTTCTAATTTGGGATTAGAAAGGGGGGGTCATCTTATACATTGGGTCATCTTATAAACAGAAAAATACGGGTAGTTATACTTGGTGGTATAATTAAGTCCTGCAAGTTTAGAAGCTGGCGTAGGCATTTGCTGTTGAATGTCAGTCTCATAACTTGGTGCACAGAACTAAATGCCTGTGCTGACTTTGTGACGTGTAGCAGGTTGCAGCTAAAATTTTCACCAGAGGGTTTATGGCAGTGTAATTTTTCAATTGGATTCTGGCTGTTGTTTTGATGTACTTGTATTTTATAAACGTCCATGACTGTTTGCAAATCATGTTGATCTTCTG